CCCCCCCCCCCCCCCCCCATCTTATTACCCTTCTGATTGTTTTTGGGTGTTTAGGAGAATAGCTGAGGTTAAGGAGAAAGAGAGAAGAAGGGCGTTGGAAGAGATTTTATATGCTTCAGTTGTTCAGAAGTTCATGGACGCTAATGTTTCACTTGTACCACCCTTAAATTCATCAGCTATGGATCCTTCTGGTCGAGTTGATACTTGGCCGGCCCAAGATGGGGAACTCGAGCATCTTCACTCCCCTGAGGTTAATGAGATGATTCAGAATCATCTTTCCATCATTCTTAAAACCCGCGTTGGTGATCTGAACTCTGTAGCACAGATAAGCAAGCTCGGAGTTGGACAAGTATATGCTGCTTCGGTGATGTATGGGTATTTCCTGAAGCGGATCGACCAAAGGTTTCAGCTTGAGAAGACGATGAAGATTCTTCCAGGTGGGTCAGATGAAGGTGACACTAGCATTGAGCAAGCTGGGAGGGAATCAGAGAGAAGTTTCTACGGAGAAGCAGAAGAGACTTATCAAGCTGTATCCTCAAACCAAGAAGTTGGTTCATTTGTGGGAGGGATCAATGCGAGTGGTGGTTCTAGCAGCGAAATGAAACAGTCCCGGTTAAAGACTTACGTCATGTCCTTTGACGGAGAAACCCTTCAGAGATACGCTACAATAAGATCAAGAGAAGCAGTTGGTATAATTGAGAAGCATACTGATGCGTTGTTTGGGAGGCCAGAGATTGTGATAACACCGCAAGGCATTGATTCGTCCAAGGACGGGCACATAAAGATCAGTTTCAAGGGACTGAAGAGGCTTGTCTTGGAGGCTGTGACGTTTGGTTCCTTCCTCTGGGATGTGGAGAGTCATGTAGATTCAAGGTATCACTTTGTACACAGCTGAAATGTCTTGTTTGTCTCTGGTAGGATTTTTCGGTTTTTGTTGTGATATATGCAGCGGATACTCTATTTATATGTTAAATTGCCGAATTCGAGAGGTTTGCTTTGTATCAAGAGTTTTCAACATTATGGTTTTCTTTATGGAAAATGAACTTGGGACTGTTCTTGAGATGATTATCAATATGCATAGAGGAATGAAATGAACACTAAATGATATCTATATTATTCTGGAAGCTGGTATTGATACTTGCTGTTTTCTTCAGGTTCAGTGGTACTGGTAGTAGAAGAAAAATGCAATAGTGAAATTACTAATACATTTCTGAGGAACCAACTCTCTATACTCGTGGAGATTGCATTTTTCTTGTGTCTATTCTCTGCTTCCAAAAGCTCCAGTCCTTTGTTGAACTTGCATATACGGTACAAAGATAGAAATTAGTAAAATTACAGGAGGGCTTGTCGCTGAGACTGGTAATAGCTGATGATGTTACCAGTAGAGAAGAATGCCTGCACCGCAAAGAACCACATTTCTCCGAACCTTGTAGATCTGTTGTTTAATGTAAACACACACAAACTCGTTAGTAAGCAATCTTAGGCATTTCATAGGGAAGAGACGATACTAGGGAAGAACTAACTATCCCGAGTGTATGATACTGCATAGTGTACACAATAAAGAATGCTTGTCAAAGAAAATACAGCTTAAATGATAGATAACAATGCGTAATCAATTGCCTATAGAACCACAAGAACGTTATATAAACTGAACTAAATCCATGTTGCACATTCTACATGTGAGACGCTTTGTTGTGGGCCAGTCATAAATTCTGGACAATTTTACTCTTAATGAACGTTTTGTGTGGATAGGTAATGTGTGGACGAGTAATGCGTGGACGGAGGATATATGTTAATGAACGTTTTGTGTGGATGAGTAATATGTGGATAAGTGATACGCGGACAGAGGATACATGCACAAATGATATATGGATATATAGTGTGTGGATAGGTGATATATGGACGCGATGTTGGAATGGTGTCTATGTGAACTGATGGTGTGTGGAAAGTGTTATGGATCGA